CAGGGGCCTAAACGCAATTTCCCCTATTAAACGCATGAAATTGCACAAAAGGGCAAAGGACTATTAGTATGACCCAAAGAGTCAAAACATTGTACCGAGCTAAGAATTTAGTTCGTGCCATTTCAGAGAGAAAATGTCGCGAAACAAGTGAGGAGTTGGTGATTGTTGAACAACTACCTCTTCCCCAATAACCACCAAAGCTAACTTTTGGTCTCCAAGAGAGTTCACAATATAAAAATTGTGTATCGCATTTCAACGCCACCTAACAAATTTGCGTATTAGATTGCATTCACTGGTATGCTCAAGTTTGTATGATGCAATGGTGTTTAATTAGTCAAGTATGTGAACGTGACATACGTCTTATAGTTATTAGAGGAAATAATTATATTGTGACATCAGTGTATTCATTTTACTATTCAAGTAAAACTGGAAGTGTTTGATGCTATAAATACCTCCTTTCTTGCAGAAAAGAACCAACTGTGAGAACTTTCCAACAGCCTCATTAATTTGGTATAATTAAATACTATGGCTCCATCTCTCAATGTCAAGCACTTTTGCTTTGCCATAGCTATGCTCACGCTAGCCACACCTTTGTGCAAAGGTCTGTGTAGTCTCTCTCTCTCTCTCTCTCTCTCTCTCTTAACAAACTTCATACTTGCACAAACCAAAAATTAATCAGCACGACTTTGTTCTTAAAATGTTGCAGGACAATCTGCCCAACCACAAGACTCGGTCCAAATCGTCGCCAACGCTGCACTTTGTTTCGATAACAAGACCGTAAGCTTAGCCATCTCCATTCTCTCCCAGTAACGAACACAATCTCAATTATACTAATTACGTATATTTGCAGGTTATTATGAACTGTATATCATCGGCAGCAATGCTTGCTAATGGAAGTTTAAACCCGAACTCTACTTTCTGTCAAGGGCCTTGTTATGGGCATGCGATGCTGATGGTGAACTGCTTGGATGGAATTTTCACTAACTTTCCATTCTACAACGCCGGTTTGTTTCAAGGAGTGAGGGCAATCTTTCAGGTATCCTGCGGGAAAAATATTACAGGTACCGAAGTATCTGACACTGTACATAATTTAGCTCAATAGTATGCATCTGATACTCTATGTATGTAGTATGCTCATACTGAGATTTTGTTGCAGGTAGTTCAAGTGAGAACATTGTGGCAACTAGCCATGGAGGTGGGCTGGCCATTCCTGTCGATTTAACAGCATACGTTTCCATGCTCCTAGCTTCTGTTTTCCTCTTCTGATGCTCCTTTAACATATTTACCTTTCCATTATTAATTATTCATGTAGAAGAAATGTGGTAACTACGAGATGGCAGTTTTCTAATTGTCGAAAAAGACTGCAGGTTCTTTGTTTATTCTTTGTGTTTTATTTACCGGGTCTACTGGTAATTTCTTTTTCCTTGTGAGTATTCTATTCATTGTGTGAAGAGATTTGCAAAGGATTGAAGTATCTGATTGTCAACAAGTACGTATTACTTCGGATTAGTAAAGAGAAATTAATAAGGTGTCTCATGTAACATCAGTCTATCTATGTCCATTATCATAAATATAACAAACCTGAAATCCATGAGTACATCTCCTATGCACTAAATGTTGGGAATTTTATGGAGATAAACCTGCGGAATTAAACACTAAACGAACAACGACATCAATAAAAATACCACAAGCAAGCAAACACCAACATTTAACGTGGTTCGACAAATCGTGCCTAAGTCCACGGGGCAATTCAGAGAGAAATATTCCACTATGAATCAAGAGTAGAATCCCTCCAAGTTACACTTGAACTTGAGAATTAAATCATAAGAGAATATACAATGTTACCTCTAGAGCAACAAAAACCTAAAATCCGTCTCACCAAAAATCTGTAACTCCCACGGAGAAACCAACACCGTACCTCGACGGTGTCATCGTTCTGAAGACAACAGCTTTTGAATCACTGCAATCGGACAACCGAACGATCCGGAATCTGAACTTTTCTCTCTCTCTCTCTCTCTTCTCGGATTACTGTAGCATAGGGGTTACTGTTCATTCAGAAAACAAAAAACAAGTTTTTCATATATAGCATTCTCTAAACATATTCCTATTTCAAATAAATCATTCAAATCCTCTTCTAGATAGAGTTCTAATTCATATGGATTTCATGTGAGACTTATCTTAGGCTGGACCTACAACAATCTCCTCCTCCAGCCCAACGAGAGGGTATGCCAATTTGTAACTCCTTAACGAGAGTTCATGCTGGCCAATCGCCAACACAAGTCGGTCTTTTCTTTGGAAACAATATTCGTTAAAAAATCTACTGGATTTTTATCTGTGTGAATCTTCTGTAGCTTCAACTCCTCTTTCTCAAGAGCTTCTCTAAGCCAATGATATCTCACATCAATGTGTTTCATCCTGGAGTGGAATGTAGAATTCTTACTCAGATTAAGAGCACTTTGACTATCAATGAAGATGTAATAATTATCCTGCTGTAAGCCTAACTTCTGTAGAAATCTTCTTAACCAAATCATCTCCTTAATTACCGGCTTTTACAACTGTAATATATTCCGCCTCTGTTGTAGATAAAACAACACACTTCTGTAATCTGAATTGTCAAGATACTGCTCCCCCTGCAAAATTGAACAACCAACCTACGGGAGACTTCTTGTGATTGAGATCACCTGCCATATCCGTATCTACAAAACTATATAATACTACCTTCGAACCTCCAAAACTCAAATACAATCTGGAACTGTCTTTCAAATATTTTAAGATCCACTTTACACCTTCCCAGTGAACTTTTCCTAGATTAGAAAGAAACATACATCAAACTTCCTATAGATGAAGAATAAGGAATATTCTCCATCTTACTCTTTTTCTCATCTGTAGTCGGGAAAAATTTCTTGCTAAGCTTCAAATGACCTGTAAGAGGAGTACTCACTGACTTGGCATCTTTCTTATTGAATCTATCAAGTAGTCGTTTAACATATTTCTCCTGTGATAACCACAACTTTCTGGCTTTTCTATCACGAGCAATATCCATATCAAGAATCCGTTGTGCCAAGCCCAAATCCTTCATGTCAAAGGATTTAAATAAATCCTTCTTCAGCCCACCGATTATCTGCCTATCATGACCAACAAGCAACATATTGTCCACATAAAGCAAAAGGATAATGAAGCTAGAATCTAAAATTCTTTTGAAATATACACACAAATCTGCAACTGTCCTCTGGTAGCCATGACTCAACATAAAAGAATCGAATTTCTTGTACCGCTGCATGGGTGCTTATTTCAAACCATAGAGGCTCTTCTTCAACCTGCAAACCATGTGTTCTTTTCCATTTACTTCAAAACCCTCCGGTTGCTCCATGTAGATCTCCTCCTCCAAATCACTATGAAGGAATGCAGTTTTCACATCAAGCTGCTCAATCTCGAGGTCTAAACTACCTGCTAACCCCAAGATAACTCTAATGGACGTCATCTTCACAACCGGTGAAAAATCTCATCAAAATCAATGTCCTTTTTCTGATCAAAACCTTTCACCACTAATCTAGCTTTGTATTTCTGAATCTCTTTGTAGCCATCCTTCTTTAACTTGAACACCCACTTGTTCTTCAAAGCTTTTCTATCATTCGGCAAATCCACCAACTCATAAGTATCGTTCTTCTTAAGAGACTTCATCTCTTCCTTCATAGCCTAGAACCATCTGTTCTTGTCTTTATGAGTATGTGCCTCCTGAAAGCTCTCTAGATCCCCCTCTTTTGTCAGCAAAGAATACTCTAAAAGAGGATATCTCGTGGATAGTCGATGCTCTCTAGCTTATCTCCTAAGTTGTGGCTCTGCAAATTCCTGTCGCTGGTGATGCTTCCCCTACTGAGGAGCCTCCTGTTCGTGATCCTGATCACTGTCTCCCTGCTCTGATATCTAACTGTCATCATTAACATCATCATTATGCACCTGCTCTATATCTGTAGGATGCAACTGTACTGAAGACGAAACGGGTATCATATCTAGAATCTCACTAGCAACACTCTCTGATTGCTTTGCTCTCCCGAGATCTGCAATAGTCTGATCCTCCTAAAAAACCACATCTGCTCGTCTAATAATTTATTTCTTTTCTGGATCTCATAGTTTGTAGCCAAACTCATCTTCTTCATAACCAAGAAAGATGCAAGGAACCTCTCTATCATCAAACTTCTGTCTCTTCTCCTTCCTGGACCAAACTCTCTCTGGAATATCAAAACCCAAAGGAACTGAAGGAGACCTGTTGATTATGTAGCATGCAGTACGAACAGCTTCAGCTCAGAAGCTCCTAGGTAACTTCGTCATCTTCAACATGCATCTGACTTTCTCCACAATGATCCTATTGTACCTCTGATGTCAAATATCATGCTTGGAGTAATAATCTCTAAACTGAATGGAAGTGTATTCTCCTTTATTATCAGTACGCAAACACTTTAACTTCTTTCATGTCTGTCTCTCCACCATGAACTGAAACTGCTGGAAGACAGAAAACACTTGATCCTTTGTCCTTAACAAGAAGACCTACATCTTCCGTGATGCATCATTAATAAATGTGACAAAATACTTATTGTCACCTAAGAACTCTACCTCAATAGGACCAAAAACATTAGAAGAAATCAAATCAAGGATATTATCTTTTCTTTTAGAAGGCTTACTAAAAGAAACTCTATGTTTTATTGCCAAACAAACAATAATCACTAGGGGTGAGTGAGGAACCTTTGACAGAGGGAATGAGAGACTTCTTTGCTAATATCTGTAACCCATTCTCGCTTATGTGCCCGAGCCTCCTATGCCACAAATTGAAAGTGTCACCGTCTTGAGCCACACTCAAAGAATCATATGAAGCCTTCGCTTGAGTCTTGTATAAATTGTAACATATGCTTCCTCTAGCCACCACAAGAGAGCATTTAGTGATCTTACATTTTTCTCCACCAAATTGGATTTCATATCCTATTCGGTCCAAAGTAAGACCTAAAATCAAATTGAGCCGCAAATTGAGAACATGTCGCACATTCTTTAAGATCAATGTGTATCCGGTATCTGTCTACAAGTGTATATCCCCAAGTCCCATAATCTTTTAGTAGCTGATATTGCTCATCTTCATATTACTAAAGTCACCTGCTTTATACGACGTAAAAAGGTCTCGATTGGAGGTGGCATGGCATGTAGCGCCTGTATCCACTATCCACTCGGAATTCTGACTTATAACATGCATACAGTCTTCTTCACTACAAATGAGAATAATATCGGTCTCAGACAAAGTAGTTGTAGTGTCACTGTCAGCTTTCTTCTCATCTTTCTTTTCATCTTTGTTCTCAGCTTGCTCTTTCTTCAATGCCCAATAATTCTTCTTGATATGATCTGACTTCCCACAATAAAAACAATCTCTCCCTTTAGACTTTGATCTGTCGTTAGATGTGCCATGACCTCTGGACTGGTCCCTGTACCTGCTCTTGCCTCTGTTCTCTGTGATAAGTGCCTGTGAGTTATTTGTGCTGGTGAACTTCCTTCGAGTCTCTTCATTGAATAAACTACTAGTAACCATACTCATCGATAATACACCATCTGGAGCTGCGTTGCTGACTATCATAACCAGTGTCTCCCAACTGTCTGGTAACGAACTCAATAGTAATAAAGCCTATAGCTCATCATTGATAGTCATCTTCATGGTAGCTAACTGATTAATCAAACTCTTGAACTCATACAAGTGCCCTGCTACGTTGCTTCCTTCTTTGAATTTCAAGTTCACCAACCGCCTCATAATAAACGTCTTTTTTCTAGCGGTCTTCTGCTCGTAGAGATCCTCAAGCTTCTACCAAAGAGACTTCACATTAGTCTCACCCGATACATGATGAAACACACTAACGTCGATCCACATCTGAATATAATCGATCACCTTCTTGTGTTGTTTCTCCCATTCTTTGTCAGTCATCTTTTCTGGTTTGACTCCATCTCCCTCAATAGGGTCATGTAAATCTTTACAATATAGAATATCTTTCATCATAGACTTTCATACTTACCAATTGGAATCATCCAATTTTATCATTGTACCAAAACTCTCAATATTTTCTATCCCAAAGCATGCCTCGAACCAGGGCTCTGATACCACTTATTGGGAATTTTATGGAGATTAACATGTGGAATTAAACACTAAACGAATAACGACACTAATGAAAACACTACAAGCAAGCAAACACCAAGATTTAGCGTGGTTCGATAAATCGTGCCTACGTCCATGGGGCAATCCAGAAAGAAATATTCTACTATGAATCAAGAGTACAACTCCTCCAAGTTACACCTGAACTTGAGGATTAAATCACAAGAGAAAATATAGTGTTACCTCTAGGGCACCAAAATCCTAATACCCGTCTCACCAAAAATCTCTAACTCTCACGGAGAAACCAACACCTTACTCTCGACAGCGTCGTCGTTCTGAAGACAACGGCTTTTGAATCACTATAATCGGACAACCGATCCGGAATCTGAACTTCTCTCTCTCTCTCTCTCTCTCTCTCTCTCTCTCTCTCTCTCTCTCTCTCTCTCTCTCTCTCTCTCCTCGGATTACTGTAGCGTCAGGTTACTATATATCCGAAAAACAAAAACATGTTTTTCATATATAGAGTTCTCCAAACTTATTCCTATTTCAAATAGATCATCTAAATTCTCTTCTAGATAGAGTTCTAATTTAAGTGGACTTCATGTGGGAGTTATTTTAGGCTGGACCCACAACACTAAAATGATCCATATGCATGTATTTTATGTTGTCTAAGATGGACAATTTGGGAGATTGCAAAGCAATTACTAACGGGCTTCTTGTTTATGCAAAGCCTAACGAGGATTTTTGATCATTTTTTAATTGTTTGGATCTTTATGTGTAAATTGTTCATTTTTTTGAGAAAAAGGATAGACTACCACAAAGGTAATCCAGCCAACTAAATTAATCAAAAGTGGTTGTTACATAAAAGAAATACACACCCCCAACCAAGAGTGAGTATTATAGTCCATATCAGAAGCTACAGAGAATGAAAAACAACACCCCTCTGTACATAACCATGGATCTCCAACAAAAGGAAGATCATAATAAGATCTGACAAAAAACAAAAGCAGAACAGTTCACAATGGAACAGAGTTCTAAAGGATAAAAAACAAAAAAACATCACTACTGAACCATTTGTAACTCATTCTAACTGAATCACCATGCTCTCCACACCTCTGTCTTCTTTTCTAACCGCTCCAGCAGCTTGAAATCTATCAGCATTCCTCTTTCTCCTCCTTTCCTGTAATCTGGCAGCTCGAGCAGAAGCCTTTTCAGAACCTAGCCAAAATGTTGCGAAGGTCATAATTTTGTTCAAAAGCTCAAGGGACTTATTTCTTTTATTAGAAAAGATTTTATCATTACGTTCCTATCATATACACCAAACTAAAGAACAGATGAGCACATCCCTTTTCAATTTATAGTTCTCAGCATCTCCAGTTTTCCATTTAAGCCATATTTCTTTCAAAGAATGCAAACTAAAATTTTCATCAATCTCCAATTTGAATTGAATTGATCTCCATACTGAGTAAACAAACTCACATTTGATGAAGAGATGTGTGTGATTCTCCTCCAATTTAGAACATAAACAACAAGTTTTATCGACAAGAACTCCTTTCTTTTCCAGAACGTCTTTTGTATTCAAACTTTGTCTTAGAGCCAACCAGACTAGGAATTTCACTTTTAAAGGAATAGGAAGCTGCCATAAATTTGCACAATCATATCTTACACCCCCATCAATTAAAAAATGATAGGAAGATTTCATTGTGAAACTCCCTCTTGTCTCCCACGACCATTTTCTTTTATCCTCCCTTTGCTCTAGACAGATGGAATTTATTAAACTCATCATAGAACAATATTGGGAAACAAGAAGCCTAACTAACTGCTTCTTAAACTGAATATTCCATCTCCACATATTATTCTCTTTTTTTCTCATACTATTAACAGCAGCAAAAGGATATAATGTTATAACAAATAAGGATGGAAATACAGATGCAAGAGTAAATGAGCCTAACCATTTGTCCAGCCAAAATAAAGTATGATTTCCTTTTCCAACCTCCACTTGAGAGCTGCATAAAAATGATTTCCTTTTCCAACCTCCACTTGAGAGCTGCATAAAAAACTTTCAATATTAACAAAAAAGTTCCTCCAAAAGTATGATAAAAGAGCTCTCCCGAGAGCTGCATAAAAAACTTTCAATATTAACAAAAAAGTTCCTCCAAAAGTATGATAAAAGAGCTCTCCTAGAATGTATGTATTCTGTCCAGTTTTTCTTTTCAAAATATTTATAAAAGCTAATTTGTTTCCAAAGACCAGGCTTTCCATCAAACCATTTCCAAAGCCATTTTCCTAATAAAGCTTTATTCATGATTCTCAAATTTATGATACCTAAACCACCACAATGTTTAGGTCTACATACCTCCTCCCATTTTACCAAATTAGTGCATTTTTTGTTATCCAAGGAACCAATCCACAAAAATCTTCTCCTTATTTTATCAATTTTATCAATAATCCATGAAGGAAAAAAAAAGAAAGATAACAAAAAAATTGGCATAGAGGATAGGACTGAGTTAACTAAAACTAGTCTACCACCACTTGATAAAGATCTGCCTTTCCACAAAGATAGTCTCCTTTCAATCTTCTCAATCAAAGGGAACCAGTCATTTTTTTCAACTTACCAGGCCTTAAAGGCACTCCAAGATAAGTAATAGGAAAATTTACACTTTTATAATTCAACATAACAGCCAAATTCTATTGTAAAGATTCATTAATCTCAAGAGTAATAAGAACACTCTTATTGAAATTAATCTTTAAACCAGATGCCAACTCAAAACAATATAAAATCAGCTTCAAAACTGTTAATTGTTCTCTTTTATTTTTACAAAAAATCAAAGTATCATCTGCATATTGTAAACAGACAATTTTATGATTCATGTTAACTGGGCCTAAGCCTTTAATAAGATAAGAATTAACTGCTAATGATAGCATTGTGGTAAAAGAATCAGCCGCCAACACAAAAAGAAGTGGTGACAAAGGGTCTCCTTGACGAACACCTCTTTTAGACATAATCCAACTTCCAGGTTTACCATTTATATTAATGGCAGACATGCCTCCTTTTAAGCACATATTCACCTAATTAATTCATTTCTCACCAAAGTTTTTAGCCTTTAACACCTCCAAAATAAAGTCCCAGTCTAACATATCATAGGCTTTTGAAAAATCTAGTTTTAATAGAATTCCTCCTTTTTTATTATTCTGAAAACAGTCATCAATAATTTCTTGAGCTGCAGCTACTCCATCGAGTAAAAATCTGTTCTTAATGAAACCAGATTGAATTGAATCAATAAGCCACTCAAGCTTGAAATTTAATCTGTTTGTCAAAACTTTGGTAATAATTTTGTAAACCACATTAAGAAGGCTGATAGGTCTGTAGTCATTAACAGTAATAGCCTCATTTTTCTTTGGAATAAGAACAATATGAGCATAGTTAATTCTATTGATCTACAATTTGCCTTCATAAAATTCCTCAAAAAGTCTCATAATATCCAATTTCACAGACTCCCAAAAGACTTGAAAAAATAAGGCAGGAAAACCATCAGGACCAGGGGATTTATCACCATTCATATGAAAAATGGCTTTATGAATTTCCTCTTTGTTCACTCAAATCCGCAAGTGCACGGATATCGTTATAGCGATGCAAGGTCGTATCCTCAGGGGCTTCGTTGTTAATTACTGATTTTCACTATTTTGTGACTATCTTAACCAATCGTGTTAAAAAGTATGATTTTTGACTATCAATAACGAACACGCTAGCTAGTATCAACGACGAATTCACTCAATTAAAAGGATATAGGATTGAACTTCGGTTTCAACTCTGGTTCGAATCAATAAATTAATCAATTGTTATCGAATCTCTCAATGCATTAAGAACGACTAACCTATGATAACTATTAGTCTCTTTCGACGACTAAAAGTCGTGTCTAATTCAGCCTAACAACCTATTTTCATAGTGTTAAACCAAATTAAACCCATTAAGTTCTTGTTAATCCCTCATGTTCTCAAGAATAATTAACCTGCTTTCGTGATCAATTAATTCTTGTTCAATTACTATTTTCCGACGTCAATCTAACCTTTCAGTTTAAATCAACATCCTAAAAGAATTAAATCAGTGGCTAATTGAATTAACCCTAGGCAATTAGATCTAGCAGTTGAATAATGCAAATCGAATGATCAAAAACAACAACAATAAGTTCATTAATTCATAACCACAGCCGAACCTTGTTCAATCCCAGATAAGACAATTACTCACACATAATTGAGTTCATTAATTCATAACCACAGCCGAACCTTGTTCAATCCCAGATAAGACAATTACTCACACATAATTGAAATAGAAAACATGATAACAATAATAAGACAATTACTCACACATAATTGAAATAGAAAACATGATAACAATATATAAGATCATAATCATAAAATAGAAATTGAAATAGATCAGAAAGATAAACCGTAGTGTCGAAGTTGCGCACAATTCTCCACAAACAGCAGGTTCCAAAGCAAAAGAAAAATAATCTAAGAGTTTTTGTAGAGAGAAGAAGAAAAGAAGAAGAAAGAAATATCCAGATCTCTAGCCTGCAGGTCCTCTCTGATGCTTCAGGGCGTCTCCTTTTAATTCTTTTCCAAAAACGTGTTGAAAGATAACTTTAAATAATGCTCCAGATCGCATGATAACTGACTGCTGTCATCCAACACGGCTGTGCAGATCGACATTACCAGGCCGTGTTTAATTCTGTTTCGCTCTGCTTTCTGGGCTTATCTTCTGTAATCAACACGCCTGTGTTGTTGAACACTGGGTGACCATGTAGCCACTTTTCATGCATTCCTTGACTCCTTCTTGACTCCGAATCCACGCTAAACTCCAGTAATTCCTACACAATATATATAGAGCAGTAAACAAGAACTAGGGAGCTTAACATGGCGAAAATGCAAGGAAATACATCAAATAACAATGAATCCGTAGGTGAAACATAGTCAAAATATAGATAATATTCATGTTTATCACTCTTCACAAAAAGGAATTTCAATATCACTAGGACCCCAGTCAATAAAAGGGAATAAACCATTCCAATCCAGTTGACATCTATGAGGCACATTTTGACCAAAAATCTGATTGTAATGATCTGAAAAAATCTGGGCTATACCAATCTCAGAACTCACTTCAACATCATTATGAGTGATAGAGGAAATCAAATTACTCTTTTTTCTACCATTGGCAATTTTATGAAAATATACAGTATTATTATCTCCTTCTTTAAGCCAATGAGCTTTTGATCTTTGCTTCCACATTTGCTCCTCTTGAAAAAGGATCACATTTAACTGAATGATAATATCATTTTTTTTAATTACTTCATCATCTTCTAAATCTCTATTCTCCTCTATAGTTTCCCATTCTAACAAGCTGTCCAACAGACCTTTCTTTTTTTGTTTGACACTGTAAAAATTTGAATGCACCCATTGCTTAATTCATTTTCTCATAAATCTCAGTTTACCAACAATGTTTTTAGCAGCAGATTCACTCTTAGGAGCACAGTTCCACCATATAGGCACACTTTTCATAAAGTCATCAGACTGTAACCAAATTTTTTCAAATCTAAAAATTTTAGCTTGCTGTTGATTTTCCCCACAGTCAAAACTAATGGGAGCATGGTCTGATAATTGGCTACTAAGACCTTGTTGTCTGGAAAAAGGAAAATTATCTTCCCATTCAGAGTAAATGAAAACTCTGTCAAGTCTAGCCATAGAAGGTGATCTTCTTTTATTTGTCCATGTGAACTTTCTTCCATGAAGAGGACTATCTATTAATTCCAATTCATTAATCACTTATTTAAATTCTTCCATATCTTTTCTGTGATTAGTTTTCCCTTTTCTTTCTGCAGAATTAATAGTAACATTAAAATCACCCGCCATAACCCAAGGTCCTGAAAAAAAATTCTTAACATCTCTGAGTTCTTGCCAAAAACTCTCTCCTTATTACAATGAGGACCATATTTAGATGAAATGGTCCATATAAAACCATTTTTCTTATTTTTTAACAAAACAGACAAGACATATTTACTAGATATTTTCTGTATCTTCTTCCATATATTATTATTCCAACCAATCATAATTCCACCAGAAGCCCCAATAGAGGGTACAAAAGCCCAATCATACATGTTACCTCCCAGACTTTTAATAATATTGTCAGAACAACAGCTCAATTTTGTCTCTTGCAAACATATTATTTCAAATTTATTCAAATGACAAAAATCTTTAACTCCAAATATTTTTGAGCTCAAACCCAAACCTCTAACATTCCATGTAACTAACATAGAAAATAGAAAAATCTCCTCAAAAACAAAAACTGGAGCCTACTCAGAAGTAGCTCTCTCTTGTTCCATCTGCCTTACTTTTTTGAGGGGATCAAAACTCCCTTGAGGCTCAAGAATGATAGCACATTTAGAAGCATAATTTTGTAACTGCTTATTAGAGCAAGCATCAAATTTGAGGCTCAAGAATGATAGCACATTTAGAAGCATAATTTTGTAACTGCTTATTAGAGCAAGCATCAAATAAAATTGGAACAAAATTAGAACCCAAAGAAGAGGAATTTTCACCTGATCCACTAGAAGAAGCACCTGGAGTATTTTTTATAATATTTTTCATTGCAGCTCTTGAAGTAGCCCTATCCAATGCAGACATGGGTTCCATATCCACAAATCTTGAACATCTCCTGACAAAGTAACATTTGGAACAGCTTCAAATTCTGTGGGTGGTAAAGAATTCAGAGGTTGAATAATAGGTATATCTTCTTCCTTCTCTGAGATTTCATCATTGTTGAAGTGTGTTGGAAGAATTAACCATTTATCAATCTCACTATTATCACTCTTAGTAATAATTCCTTCATTTATAGGAGTCTCTCCCCCTTTGTGATCTGGCATACCCTCCCTGGTAAGAAACACATTAGATTCTTTTTCATCTTTAGAATTCTTTTCAGCTTCTTCATCATTACCCTCACCATAGTCTAATACTTGATCAGTAAGAACTAAAATATCATTCATCTTCATCTGTTCTTGTTATTGTTCAACCCCCAAGTCTATAAACTGTTCAAAATAATCTTCCACGTCAGTTACCACCTGTTCTAGTTGTTGCTCCACCTCAATATCGTTTGATATATTTTCTCCCTAAGTTCCCCACTCAGATTTTTTATTCTGGTAGAAAACTTTTGCATCAGTCCATAACCTAGCAGCAGGAGAATTCCATGGATTATTCCTCAAGTCTTGCTTAACATTCCATGAAGTAGTCTCAGAACCTTTCAAAGAAGAAGAACCAGTTCCACTATCCTTCCTTCCTTTAAACCACTTATCCTGATAAGAACTTTGATTGGTGTCATCTAATTGGTCCACCTTCTGTTTTTTCTTTTCCCCTTCATTTAATTCACCCATAATAGACATAATAGAAACCTCAATGTTATATTGATTCTTTCCAACAACAACCTTCAGAATTTTAGGAATATCTATGTATTCTAAGCAACAAACCAGCATCACAGCATCCACAAACTCAGTACAAGCATTGGTTAATGAATCCAATTCAACGAGATCAGCAAAAGGTTTAACCATCAAATCAAAAGATTCTTTATTCCACAAATGAGGTGGAACATTTTTCAACTTAATCCACACATATGATTTTCTTTTTTCTACCACATTTCCTTCCCAAGCACTCCATCTTCTGAGTTTAATTTTACACGATCTCAAATTAATCACCCCCATTCTTATCAAATCATCCATCTATTTCCACGGCTATATTTTAACCAAAACTTCTCCATTAGTAAACAATCTCACATCCCAATGCTTATTCATAGGAAAATAAGCTCTCAGATCCAATTCTAATCTTTCAAGAGAAATATTACCCCCTTCAACAAAAGAAACTATAACAAAGTTTCTAAACTTCTGAAAACCAGAATTAACTTCCCCCTCAAAATTTAAGATAGCAGCACTAAAACGAGGACGATCACCTGAGATCTTCAGCTCGGCTTCCAAATCTCCATAATCTCTCAGCCCTTGGTCTTGAAAATGCACAATATTCTCCTGAAGAATATCCTCATCCACCGGATCCAGAGGTCTTTTGCCCTTATTTTGTTCTATAATCTCTGATGAAGAGTCTTGCTTTCTTGTAGAAGAGAAGGCAGAGGAAGTTCTTTCTCTACGCCACTGCCAAGGGTTAGAATGATCAGATCTCCCCCCTCGACCAAGGATCTGCCCAGCTCTTCCTCTATTGCCTCTACCCCCAACATTATAGTGACCTCTAGATCCTCGACCCCCAAAAGGACCACGCCCACCATCACTAGATCCTCTTCCTCCATAACCACGCCCTTTGTTATCAGATCTATCACTGTTACGATCATTTACTCTACAATTTCTTGCTTCATGACCTATTTCTTGGCATCTGAAATAGACAATTGGGTCTCTGCAATCTTTCGATATGTGCTTCGATCCTCCACAACGAAAGCACAGTCGATTCCTTCTAATGAAGTTTGCAGAGAGATAGCGAGGAGAAAAAAGAGATTTTTTGGGAGGCGGCGATTTAGGGTTTCGTTTAACAACTTTCACCTAGTCCCCCTTATTAATATCCTCCTTCAATTCCTCTTGGGATCTCCGCGACGGATCAATCCCCACCGCAAATTTAAACCCTAGTTCTTTAGATTTTGACCCCGGTTCTACAAAAGTAACCCTAGTTTTCTCACCCTGGGTTTGAAGAAATTGATTGGGCTCAGAAAATTTCGGAAGAAAAGAAGGTGAAGGCTCACCCCAAATATTGCAGGCCACAAACTCCTTTGGATTCGGCCCATAGCCCAAATCCGCTCCTAAAATCGCCATTACGCAAAAGAATTAAAAAAGATCACGACAATGTGAATCATCTTTGAAAATGTTAAGTGTTTGCAAATTATAATGGAGCTTAAAAGCCCCAAATCCCTCCAACCCAACAACAAGAATTATTAATGTGCACCTAATAGTAGTCTTTTCACATCAAGCATCAGCCATTTTCTTCAAGATCCAGATTTGGCTGGTAGCCACTCATGTGCTAGTCTCCTTGACTTCTGTCTCTGTTTAAATTGTTCATTGCCTTTAATTAGAATTGAATCGTCGAGGATTCTGGATGGACATCTTTACTTTCAAATATGAAAGTGGATTGGACGGAACGGTTAATTACTGATGGATTCTCAATTCAGATTATACCAGTTATGTTTGAAAGTAGGATTAGCAACTTCAGATATCAATTAAGATCAGACAAATTTTGGTGTTTATCGTTAAGTCAGGCTAAAGACAGCCAACATCAATGCAAACCTAGGGTAAATTTCACGAAACCCCAAGTTAGTTTCTGCCTTTTCAACTTAATCACCAAAATTTGGAAACTCTTACTAAACTCCTAAGAAGATGGGGATGTCAACAAAACTTTCAAAACGTTTGGACTTTTCTTTCTTTTAATCGTCATAATCATGTCACTTCATAAATTTACTTAGACGGAAACCTCGAGGTCCATAAGAGTAAGAATAAAGGTTTTTTAAGGATATAAATCAAATATATTTGTAAATTAGCCCCCAAAACTAGATATTTGCTAATTCCCCATCCTAATTTGGGGGGGGGGGGATCTAAAATTAGAAAACAACCCCAAATTAAATTAAAATTCACAAAGAGCTCCCTAAGAAATCTAAAAATATAAACAATCACCTAAAATATGAAATTACAAACAAATCTAAAAATATAAACACGTCACAAAGAGCTCCCTAAGAAATCTAAAAATATAAACAATCACCTAAAATATGAAATTACAAACAAATCCTTGAAAAATCAAAAATTAGAAATCACCTACCAAGAAAATCTAAAATATCAAAGAACCCCTTAGAATTCAAAAATTATACTGAAAACCTTGAAAATCTAAAATTACAAACAACCCTTACAAAATCTCAACATTTCAAGCATCCCCTCTGAAAAATCTAAAAACTATAAGTATCCCCATGAAAAATATAAATTTCAAGCAGCCTCATGAAAACTCTAAAAATTGGAAGAAGCCCTTGGAAACTAAGAAAATTACAAATAACTGTTAATATTTGAAAATTACAAACAACCACTAAAAAAATGAAAACAACAAATAACCTCTTGAAAAGTCCAAAAGTCTAATTTTTGGATGTATTAAGGGGTTATTTGTTCTACTGGATTTTTACTTGGTTTTTTAGTTTTTAGATTTTAAGGGGCTGTTTGGTTCGCTTTAAAACCCCTTGGAAAACTATTTCTTCGCCTCCACGTCAGTTTTTTCTTCTCCACGTCGGATTTTTGGTTTCCGTTGATTTTTTTTCCTCGCTTTGTTTCGCAACGGCTGAAGAGGGAAACCAAAGCACAAATTGCCTCCACGTCGTTTTTTTTTCTCTCCCCCATTTCCTCCCCCAACGGAGTGAAATCGATGAAAACTCTGGCCACGTTGGATTTTTTTCTTCCTCGTTGATTTCTTCGGTGAGCTAGAGTTACCTCATTCGCATCGCCCCCGCCAGAAACTCCCGCGGTCTTCTCTGTCCTTGTGTTCGAAGAAATTGGGGGAAGGGGGTCTGATTCTTTGTCCATGTATTCGAAGAAATGGTGATCTCTCTCCTTCTCGCTTCTCTCTTTACATCTTTGATCCTCTCGTGATCTGCCGCCGATGAGAAATTCGACGTCCTCCAACATCTCGCCACAATCACCAGGTTCTCTCTCTCTCTTTCGGTTGATTTTCGTTAGGGTTTTAATTTCTTCGGACGCGATGACCAGTTGTATGCATTTTTATCGATTTGAGATGAATTATGTAACGAGCTAATCTTTTCTCGTGCCCTAATTGGGTATTTTCGAGGTTATTTTGATGATTAATGAGTGACAATTGCCTGCTTGAAACCGAGCTTTTGATCTTCGAGAGGAGCAAATATACATAGAATTTAAGTGCATTGTAGATTGACGTCATTAATTTTTTTTTTGTCAGAATAAGGATGATTTTGGTGTCACGAGCTAATTCTACCCTAAATTTAGAATCATGTGTAATTTGTTCGGAAATGGCAATTCAACCATTGGAGCTGAAATGTAGTGTTATCAAGTTATTGGCACAGAATAAGGAAGGCTTGGGCTTTGTTGGAATATTAAGTTATAACCCTCAACTTTTCACCACAACTTATGGAAAAGAAAAGATACCACGATGCAAAATATGACAGGTTTTGGCCCGAAAAGGGCAATCAACTTGTGGGTACAAATTAGAATGTTCCCTCAACCCTTGCTACAACTATGGAGGTTTTTAGTTGTTGTGGAAGGGTCATTTAGATTACTCCACTCTACCTAAGCTATCCAAAAAAGAGTGATTGAAATTTATCTTTATTCACCAAGCATCCAAATTGACTTTGGGTACGATTTTGTTTGCGCATACTTGTTTTTATCGTCGGTGAGATGTTGCTTCCCTTATGCGAATACAATGAACCATTACACACCTGCACGCGTCTACACCCATTTCGCTTTGCTAGAGACATATACTTTATGCATACACAAGTCCACTAGCACTAGTAAATATATCTTTTAATTTCCCACAATTTTTTTTCATGCAGGTTTGGTTTGCTTTAACAATTGTAAAAGCATGAAAAAGATTGGCCAAACATGATTTATTAGGCTGAGTCATTGAGGCTTTGTGTGTATAGTTATAAAGCATGGTTATATGATTCTCATTTATTGATGTAAGATTTTTTAGGATAGGAAATGCTTCACCCTTATTTTCTTGTTCTTGTAGATTTACCTGTTGATCTTTATTTCTACTTATGCTTATATATGCAGAAACATGTATAAACATACTCATGTGTCATTATAGTGCACACTCACACACATCCTTGGAGTGACTAAAATTCTTTTGCACTCTCTCTTGCAGTAAATATATTAGAGATCACATACACCTCAGGAAGTTGTATCATGTTAACGGAACAACTAAGGTAATGCACCCAGTGTATGCTTCTAATTACTAAATAAAAAAATACGTTAGCATTGAGATGGAATAAGAAAGTTCTTATGAAGGATCATGAGAATGAACCCATGTCTAATTGATGAGATGTTGACCATTGTTTAAGTCAAAGTTCTGATTACTACACAATAATATATTTATATTGTAGTAAGTAGTTATTGGCTTCCATTTTATAATATTACCTTCCATAGTGTGAATATTGTGGTGTACTAACCTTTAAATTAAACTTGTGACTGCAGGATATTTATAAGTCGCCATACAATTTACTAAGATGCAAGCAACCAACAATGTGCACACATTGTACTGGATGGCTATTGCTCTGAGTATTTTGTGAAGTAAGTTTTCATGAAACGAGTTTACATTGGTGACAATTTACTTTTAGGCTATGATGATTGTCATAATATCTGAGCTTAGCAACCTGCAATATCTATTGATATTGTACCGGATGGCTAACAATGATGATATTGACCAAATTCTGAGCCCTCATACATAATCAATAGACAACTCCACATTACTTGATGTTGTTGGTTGGTTCTTGATGTTGTTGGTGTGCATATGCTATTGTCGGTTTGCTTTGTGACCATTACTATCTGTTTGTGTTCAGTTTGGTGTATTCATATGCTGTTTTTATGTTTTTTTCTACTTGGTTTGTTGTGGGCACATTTTTGCCTCTATATGTTGGCTTGACTGGTTGTGTTGTTGGCTCGTTGATTGGTTGGCTGGCTAGTTGTGAGCCTGGTTGTGGGCCTGAACAGGCACATGTTATTTCACTTGATTGTTGGTTGTCACATGTTGTTGGTTGGCTTGGCTGGTTGTGTTGTTGCCTTGTTGCCTGGTTGGCTGGCTGGTTGTGAGCCTTCTTGTGAGCCTGCTTGTGAGCCTGTTTTAGCTTTGGAGGGCATTGAAGAGGGCTTTTAGAAGGTATGCCTACTTTCAATTGCTAAGTAATTAACGCATGGTCCATTTCATGGTCACAATTTCACTTAATTTTGGAACTTCATTTTAGAGACTTATTGGTATTGCTACTGCTCCTAGTCTACTTGTGAATGTATTTCTGTCGGACTTAACTTGACGTATAAGATAAGGCTTGAAATTGTAATTCTGCTTATGGTCTTTCCTTCGCCATCCTTTGTAATAAGATTAGCATTCCCTGTATTTATGTGGACCTTGACGCATATGGCATCGCTGTTTTAGCATATTCGTGTTATATTCTTGCCAGTAGAGATGATATGACTGATGTCATTTGTTGTGATTTTTTCCATTATAGACATCATAATTATGCAGGCAGACTGGGATACTTCCAAAGTCCGAGAGAAATCGGTAATAAGATGTCTGGCACTTGAAAAGCTTGCAGTTTCACTCCACTTGCCCTGTTCATACCAGTACCTTGGTTGTGAGGAGATATTCCCTTATTATAGTAGGCTGCAGCATGAAGAACAATGTATTTACAGGCCATATGAATGTCCTCATCCTGGTTCAGATTGCATAGTCCATTAAGGGGTCATCTGAGGGAGTATTTCTCACTCACTACATGCTCACAAGCATATTTAACATTTTGCAGGTAAAGTGTTATATGCATCAATTACTGTCTAGACTACAGCACTGTCATGAGAGGGGAGTCTTACATCGAGACATTAAGGGGTCTAATCTATTGATAGATAGACATGGAATGTTGAAAATAGGCGATTTTGGCCTCGCCAATTATTTTGATCCTGATAAAAAGCGGCCTCTAACAAGTAGAGTTGTGACCCTCTGGTACAGGGCACCTGAACTTTTACTAGGTACCACAGATTATGGAATTGGAATTGATCTTTGGAGTGCAGGGTGCCTCTTGGCTGAAATGTTTATTGGGCGACCAATTATGCCTGGCAGGACTGAGGTGTAACAAAATTTTCTTCTCTATACTTCGACATTCCAGTACTTTAATTGTGATGAAGTTATCAAATCAATACTTGAATATGTCAAATATGGTGACATATTGCTTACTGTCAGTTCTATATTCTTCTTGCGTCCAGGTCGAACAACTACATAGAATATTTAAGCAGTGTGGATCCTCGCCAGAGGACTACTGGAGAAAATTGAAGCTATCGACAAACGTTCGGCCTCCACATCTTTACAAACCAAGCATTTTTTGAATCTTTTCGAGATCTTCATAGTTCTATTCGTGCAGTTCTGATCGTATGTGGAGCTTGGTTTTGTGTTGTGGAATTATTTTCAAGCATGGTTTTGTGCGATTTAAGAGGTTATATACATATTTATGGCTATTCAGATTGTTTATATGTTTTAATATGTTTCAACAGATTTTGTGGATAATTCATGCAACTTCATAAATTTGTGAATATTCAAGTTAGTAGAGGTTTCATGTGATTTTTTCAATCTGAAACATGTATATTTCAAGTCAAATCAAGTATGTAATTCATTACAATTGATTCATATTATTTCAGGTTTCGTATGATTTTATTAATAGAAGCAGAAATTTATAATTCATTGGAGATATTATTATTTGTTCATGTTACATTCGAACTTTTATATGATTAATATTACATCATATAACGAGCACAAATTAAGTTGTATATAGTGGGGGTAATCTTACCATGGTGATCATAAATACTTTTCACTACAAACTTTAAAACCAACCAAACACAGGAAAAGTGGGAAATGTAATATCAACAAGAGTTTTCCTTTTTTTTCTATGCGAACCAAACACAAGAAAAATAAATACATTGGTTTCCCATCATTTTTTTGTGCGAACCAAAGCGAAACAATCTATTTCTTGGAAAAGTTTGGAAAACTCAAAACTTGTGTTTTTGTACATGGAAATGCATTTCCCTATATCTAGGAAACGAACCAAACAGCCCCTAAGGGTCTCTTTGTAATTTTTTACTTTTGATTTTTGATTTCCCTCTCTCGTTTTTTTGGAAGTTGATGCATGAATCTTTTGATCAAAAGAGAGGGAAGGCTCTTTGACTCTGTCCTTATGAAGAAAGGCACGATTTTTTAAACCTAGGGGACTAAAGTAATTTTCCTAAATATTGAAGATTCCATGGACTAATAAAAAAACCGCTTCATTGACCAAATAAATTTTTTGTCATAGCGTTGCAAAGATCATTGTCTTGTAATCTTCGTCTTGGCTCCTTAAGAATATGAGAGTCGTCAGATTGTAACTCCCGATGTTGATTGTGGAGGCTGTTGATTAGAGCTTTCATCAATTGTTGTGAAGGTCGTCAGATTGTAACATTCATCGATCCACGTGAAAGTCTTCAAATTGTAGCCTTCTGGAAGTCGTCAGATTGTAACTTCCATCATCGGTGTTTGATGGGGATCAGCTATCTATTGTGATTTTTGGACAGCCTACAACTACATTGTCCACATCTTATTCGTGATGCTACTCCTTCCCGGCCTTGATCCATAGTACCTCTAATGCGCATAGAGCGAGGTCGTCCCGCTTGTCTTTTGTATTGAGGTAGTAATATATATAATATATACAAATTCGGCCAATAACGAGTATCATTGGGAGGATGAAAACTCTCCTTATAATCCTTTCGATAATGATTTGTTGAATACCAAGTTGAGCAATACCGATCATAAGGCAATCTAGCGCCACCATCCTGACTGGAACTAGCCGCTAAAACATGTTTATATGGTAGTTTTGTAATTGTGGTATACTACAAGTACAACTACGATCCTAGTCATGGAGATGGATGGTGTAAGTACCATCACAATCTTTAACCTCCCCTTCATTGTCGTTGAATGGTTCGATTCTACATGTTCTTACAGCCATAATCCTTTTCTGCAAAATTATCTCATTTTTTGGAGTGTACTTACTCGTCCAATTTGCACCATCACTACGTCTCTTATTAAAGTATGCGTTCAATCTATAAAACGTCCTTACAACTAAGGCTTGAATTAGCATAGCACGGGCACCCTTAAGTACATCATTGAAACTTTCAGAGTAATTAGTTGTTATCATACAATAGCACACTCCACCATCTCTACATAATGCTCATCGATCTTCGTATTGCGGCTTCAAGTTTTGTTCAATCCAATTGTGCGCTTCAACTGATAGGGATTTAATTTTCTCCTTACAATGCTCATATACAAGTGGGTCAGTGGGTTTGCTGGGTCGGGTTTGGGGGAGATGGAGATCGGGTTTAGGAGGGAGATGGGTTTAGGAGAGGTTGAGTTCGGTTTTGGGAGAGAGGGAGATCAGGAGAGAGAGAGAGTGAGTGAGAGAATGAACGGCTGTGCCCTAATTTGGGGCACAGCTGGGCTTTATATATCCCGACAATTCTACGGGACTACTAGTCCCATAGAATTGTCGGGCACTCATTTCTCTGCTAGTCTTGTACATTAAACAGAGACTAGTTTGTTCTGCCCAGCAAACCCACGGGACCACTAGTCCCGTGGGTTTGCTGGGCAGAAGAAATGAATGTCCAAAACATACGGGACTAGTAGTCTCGTATGTTTTCTGTGAGCACTAATCGCTGATTGGTTCACCCAAAACATACGGGACTAGTAGTCCCGTATGTTCTGAGCTGGACGTTTTTTAAAATCGACCTCTTTTTGGCATGTTGGCCAAAAAGAGATCGATTTTACTAAATAATTAGCAAAATGGTTGGTTTTTCTAATTATTTAGCAAAAACGATCTTTTTAAAAAAACTTTCCCCCAATAAAACTATATAGAGTCTATTTACACTTGAGTGATACTAATGGAGCCTATTCGTAATTAACTCTATAAAAGCTTATGAACTCTATTAGCATTTTTATACAGCCAAGGAGACAAAGAACTCTTCTCCAAACCCACTACTACAAACTGTAGCAGCCCCAATGGTTGTAACCGTTGGGGCTGAGCATGTCCCCAATGGTTACAACTGTTGGGGCTGCTAAAATGCCCGTTGGGGCAAGTCTCGTTGGGGCTGATTTTGTCCCAACGGTTGAAAAACTTGCCCCAACGGTTGTAACTGTTGGGGCAAGTAATTTTTATTTTTTAGTTTTAAAAAATAAAATAAACATGCCCCAACGGTTACAACCGTTGGGGCCTTAATCAGCCCCAACGGTTGTAACCGTTGGGGCCTTAATCAACCCCAACGGTTGTAACCGTTGGGGCTATAGAACCAGCAGCTAGCTAGCTTTGAGAGACCAAATTCAGCAAGCTAGCTAGCTTTGAGATACCAAATTCAGCAAGCTCAGTTCAAGACAAAAGTTCTGTTCACAATAAGAATCAGCAAAGAGATTTTCATGTCCAATGGTACGCTCGACAGAATAAGCCCACTATCGGGCAGAGATTCAATTGGCATAACTTATCTACAACACATACAAAATCACAATTGGCATCACTTGTCTACAACACATCACTTGTCAATGAAACTCCAAATAAGAAGGATCACAAAAATTACAAACATTCAGAGACAAACATTCAAGGAGTTTACATTGACAGAATACTCAAATGAAGTTGCAAAATTACAATATCCTTGTAATCTGATATTGCATCATTGCAGATAGGTTCAGTATATGATTCACTCGCCAACAGTCTAGAAAATCGACAAAAAGTTCGTCATAATTTGAAAAAAACTTCATCTCAAGAATAAAACTTCAGCACAAGAAAATAACTTAACTATTGGAAAATCACATTTTCAAGAAATCTACACATTCTTTCATCCTGACCATGATTCATTACAATCATGGACTCTTCTAGAACACTGCCAAAGAATACGAGCAAATTAGATTCAAGAACTTGGGGTCAGACAGCATCACAATATCAAGATTGGTGATAAAGTCACCATCATCAGGATATGAAAACAGCGATGTGTAAAGAACTATTACATAGATAATAAGAAAACTAGAAGAAATTAGATAAGCACTTACTCTTGCCATGTTGAAAGAAGGATATCTTGAAAAAGCTTTTGAAAGAACATCATCATTAAACCTCATTGCCAAGATCTCCACAAAATATGCGGAAATCATCTGCAAAAAAGAGTTTCGGAAAAATCATGCTCTTTTAAAGTAAAATCATGCTCTTTTAAAGTAAGAGTTTCGGAAAAACTTTAGACAATTAATATTATTCTTCACTATTTTAAATGTTGCATTTTAATCATAATTTATTCTAATATTATTCTAAAATATTGTTATCCTATCTTAATTAATATGATTCTAAAATCAATCTAAAAGAAAGCATCGGGTTTATCCATATGCTAGGCATAAATCCCAAATATATGTCTATATCCTTTATCTTTTGGATTATATACTTACAACAACAATTTAAATTATTTATTACTAAGTATGTATCCTGTTGGGCTTTAATGGCCCATTAGAAAATGTACAAAGATCTTGGCATCTTGCTGTAGCCGAAGGCATACTAATGTATCGAGGTGATTATTTGAACTGAATTTTTTTTACCAATGTGGTTCCGCAAATTTAGCTTTGATTAAATCGTTATCCTAATTATCCTATAAAGTAAATTGTTACAAAAAGCTAAATAGTGAAATGATAGTTGTAATGATGTGTAATGATAGTTGATTTACCTTATAGGATAATTAGGAATGACTTAATCAACTGCGCATAAATAGTACCAAGAGAAGTGATGTTCTTCGTCAACTGTGGCACGAACCTCACTTCTTTCAATTCCCTTACCACTCCGTCATGCATTCTAATCCGGACTGAACCAATACCACTAATAGGGCATATGTGGTCATTTCCCATAAGCACGAGATCCCATCTTTTCAGCTCCTCAAAACTAGAGAACCAATCCCTCCTAGGACATATGTGATATGTGGCTCCTGAATATAACATCCACTCCGTGAAGTCGGCATAGTAAACCGACGGTAGTGCAGGGCACGAATAGCCCAAAGAATCTGACTCTAAATGTTCATCAATAGCTTTTGTAACATTCACTTCTGAAGCTTGTACAGCTTTCCTCTTGTTCTTCCCGGCTTTTTCCTTCCACTTTGGACAGTCAATCTTCCAATGTCCTTCTTCTTTACAATACCGACATTAATTTTTACCAACACTCTTATGGGCACCTCTATTCTTTGACTTTGAGCAGTTGAACTGGCAGCGGTTTGAATCACGGCCTCGAACTGCTAGTGCATCTCCCGATGCCTTCTCGGAGGGTTCACCATCACTCTTCCTCAACTCA